CTCTGGCTCCCCATGCAGCCTCCTATACTGCACATGTTTCAGCTGTCTGAATGTTGAATCCAGCCAGGAAAACAGTCCCCATGTCTGCAAAACCTGTCTAACGAGCATTGTTCTGACAGACTTTCTTCTCCTTTCCAGTTGATTTCCAACATCTCTGGTAAAGTCATTTTCTTCTCATCACCCTCATGCTGTCGCTTACACCCACAACCTAATTGGAGCAGCTTCCTATCATCCACCACATCATCCTTAGCACCGGAGTGATCTTCCATCTCTGCTCTCAGCCCTTTCCAGCCAGACTTTTCCCCATGCTTTGCTCTCGCGCTAAACCTCCTTGTCTGCATTCTTAGCTTAAAAATTTCTGCTCTTCTGCCACGGAACTTGAAACAGCCTAGTGCAACTCTTTAAGATCCACTCAATAAATTCTGAAAGAGGAGAGGCTATTCAGACTTTGTAGCGAAGAAAATGCAAGATATGATCTCTCTGTTTTGGGTAAGTTTGGGAAGTTTTTACTGACAACGCTGAATGTTTCAGCTGACACTCATTCATGAACATCTCATTGTACTCAAAACTCAAGTTTTTGCCTATGCCTCCTATTTTGCTGCCATTTACAACCAGCAGGCAAGCTCTGAAATCAACAGCACTTGATTTTGTGGAGGAAAGTTTGTATCCAAATTTAAAGTGGCATTTTATACAAATTTTGTTCTCACACTAAGAGAACAGGGCAATGGCATTTAAAAAGTACCTTTCCTCCTAATAGATCTGCAGTCGGATTTTTGCTTGAATACTTCCCATTTCTCTTCAAATGCCTTTGCTTTCACACTTGCTCACCAATCCTCCCTATACATACCACAGAACTAGAATGTGTAAATTAACTGTGGCATTCTCACTGGTGAAACAGAAAAGGTGATGAGATCTGTGCCTTTGAATTAATGTAAATTGTTTGGGAACTCTTCATGAGATTTTTTTTATTATTATTATTATTTATTTTTTTTAAGGAAACTTTCCCACTCTCTGGTCAGTATTTTAGTCATGGGTAAGTTTGTTTTATTTTCTTTAAACAGATGTTTTATCTGTCACATGTAATGCCAATCAGATTAGGTAATTCCAAGTGATCTTGTCAGTTTGTTCTGTGTAAGTCTTTACAGGACAGGCAACCCTTACTGAAACGGTTCAGGAAATTCATTTGTCTTCTGTTCGTTGTCATACTTTGCTGCCACAGAAAATCATTTCTCACAATACCATATGTGCTAGAAACTTTATTCTGCTCTATACTATATCGCATTTATTTTATGGTGACTGATGCTTGGTTTTCATGTTTTAGATCAAGAGGAGCACTTCTGTAATGGGTTCTGACAGTGTTTATCAAATCCACAGCTCTTGCCTTGCTACATCCCACAGAAATGAAGGTAAATGCTGTCAGTGTGTAGGCTGAGGCCAGGCATTACCGTTTCATACAGGTCTTGCAACAGTAGTTTGTTCATTTTTAGAAAAAAAAAAGAATGTAAAGTGTGAAAGAAGTTGATCATCTGTATCTGTTATGCAGGATAAGTTAAATTCTTTGAAATGTCTGTTAAGAGAGAGATCGCCTGCAGTTTTCATTGACTTGAATTGCACATAGATGTCTAAGGACAGGACTTGACACACTTCCTATAGAAATGACAGGAAGATTCTTAGTATTACCTTTCATAGTGCATCAAATGCAAGTTTTTAAGTCCTAGAAAGTGGCATTCAGCCAGTGCAGTCTCTTACGCAGGCTTTAATCTGATGGGGTGACTTCTATGTGAATAGTGCTTACTGATTACATGATTCAGTGTTAAAAGCTGCAGAAACCAGAGCCTAAGGAGAGAAATGTTTTCAGCTGATACTTCAAATAGCATAGTGGTCTTTATATCTTGTGTCAGTTCATCACTGAGGCATTTCATCACCTTCAAATCAAACTTTTAAGAAAACCTTGATTCCTGAGAACTGCTCAGGGCACAGGTGGACATGGATAATAGCTGAGGTCACTACTTCAATTTTGCTATTGTAGCAATAATTAAAAATAGTTACTATGGGAAAAAAAAGTCTTAGTTTTAGCGTAGTTTCTATTCTTGATTTTTAATGCTTGCACTGGATGAGCTCTGTGCATTTGAGAGGAGCTTGTTTTGCTTTGGTGTGGTCCTGTGGCAGCATCTGAGCAGGACAGCAGGGTCAGCACCATTGTGCCTCCTGCTACATCTGCTTTCCACAAGCTTTCGTGTCCTTTCATCCCATTCTGTCCTTCGGGTCCCTTTGCACCCTCATCTGCCAGGTGCCACAGGAACAGCTGATTTATAAACGCCCTGCGGGAATGAACTCCTGCAGAGTAGCAGTCAGGCAGATGGGTTTTGATGATTTTGCAGCCCCTGTACAAGGCAGCAGCCTGCCATTCCTCCTCATCGCTTCTCAGGCTGTCACTTCCTGTGGCGTCTGCCCCTACGTGGCTCAAAGAGAAATTCATGTGAAGTGACCTGCAGATATGTGCTAGAGCAAGCTAAGTGTGCTAAGCACTCTTGTGACTTAAGAAATCCTTTGAAATGTAGTGTACTGGAAGTTGGGTGAATATACAATGGCTTACAGATTTATGTCTGTGTGTGTGTACCTGCGTGCCCACGCTTCTCTGGTTGTTCTACTCTTCCACAGCCATAAGCAGTTGTCTCTTGTCAAAGAACTGCCTTGTGAGCTCGGCTGGGCCCTGGCTTGATGGTGCAGCTGTTCTCCTGTCTTCATGTCTTATAGTAAGGGCTGTGATCAGGCCATGCTCTGGGCATTTCTCAGAGAAGGAACAAAGAGAAAGGGATCAAGTTCTATGGCAAAACCTATTGAGGCCCTGGTGTTTTAACAGAACTGTTTCTGGGTTGGTTTTTGTTTTGTTTTGTTTTACTGGCTCAATGTCCTGTCAGCGTGTAAGCTTGCGGAGGTAATCTGGGTATTCTTGAGTGGCTCAGGAAGCCATATTTCTTGCTCTTTTCCCCAGACATGACCCATTTCTGTCTAGGATGATCATTCAATTCTGCATCTGAGCATAGGCTTTTGGCTGAGGTATATGTCAAACAGAACTGACTCCTTAAAGCCAAGAATAAATCCAAGAATTTATACATATGCGAGGAGCCTTTCTGCCTTGTCTGCTCAGCCCTAGCAATTTGATTACCTTTTCAAGCCTCTCTTTGCAAGAAGAAAGATTGTTTTTTCTTTTCCACTCCTCCTTCAAAAGTAATATTCTTTATAGCATGAAAAGCTGTCATGTATAACGAAGGGCCCGTGTACATGCCATCAATACTGGGTGGACTTCTGCCAGGGAGAAGATGATGTTAAGACCTGTTGCAGACAGAGGACCTGAACTTTTTTTTTTCTTTTAAGAGGAAGGATTCAAACAATTTACATTTAAAGATCTGATCTTACCATCCATATTGGTGAACAGAAATTTTATTCCTCAGCATGGGAGCACAAGTATCATGTTAGCAAACTGACCACATCTCTAGTAAAATAGCAAGTGGTACAGATTACAGGAGATCTTGTGACTGGGTATTGCTTGGCAACGATACATGTTTAGGTCACAGACTTGGTAACATAACTCATGCTAGGTCACAGACTAGGTGACATGATTCCTGCTGGGATGAATAGGTAACATCTGACTGGGTAACACACAGTGTTCAAATCAACTCACTGCACTCTGGCAACACCTGTTGTAAAGAGAGGAACACAGAACATTAAAGCAATATTAAAGGTGAGAAATCTAACTTTTTGGAATTTGGTGAATGGTAAATATTGTTCTACTAAAACTTCTCCAGATGGAATTTCTGCTCTTGTTTATTTGGCTAAAAATACTTGCCTCATTTTCTTCGCATCCTAAATATATATATGTCTCAGTAAAGAGTTAGCATTGTGTCAAAACATTGACTTTTTCCTAATTTTTTTTTGTTTTGTTTGTGATTTAATGTTGCATTTTGCCTTACAATATATAAATGTGGATGTTTTGATGTTATAGAAAGAAAGACAGATTTTTGTGTGGTGACCTTACTGCTGCTGGCACTTTGAGTTCCTTTTCAGGCTAATAGGCCAGGCCTGCTCATGTTGCCCTTATATCACAATATCATACCTTTGCAACAGAAAGACATGTTTGTGGCAGATGTTTTCATACAGTGCTTTTTTTTTGCTTTGGTCTGAAAATTGTTCTTCAGAATGTGCCGGTTTTCCAACTTCAAATAAGCATGTATTACATTACTTTATTATGCAGAAATCCTATGGAAGTTAACAAAGAACGTGCTGAGTGCATCTTTGGACACTAATATAAGGATCTAATCACATGCCAAGAAAGGCAAGTTGTGCAAGTCTGCAGTGAGTTCTGGATGAGAATGCGGTCAAAGCGCTGTTTGAGTCAGCTTCTGACATAGGGCAGATGTGTATGTGTTTGTTCTTAAGAAAATAAGCAAGTAATGCAAAATATGCTTGACCCCTGCACTGATTTGGGTTTGCTCTTTTAAAGAAAGAACTCTTGAGGTAGCTCTTGCCAGAGAAGTAACGATATGTTTTTTGAACAAAATTGCACATTTTCTTTCCAGATGAAGTGTGAGGTTACGAGGTTCATCATCTCTTTTAATATTCGTAATGTAAATGTATAGGACATGTGACAGGCATCTTTGGTATCCTCTGCTTTGGAGGGTTTTGCAGGACTGAGGTAATTCTGTGGGATGTTTGGGATTTTCTCATACAGTGGTTTCACTCATAACTTAGGAATAGGCCCGAAATGTCTGTCATGACAGAAAAGAAAATTGTGCGTTGTGGAACAGCTGAGCTTAGCTGGAGACTGAATACTCTTCCTCTTCCCTTTCTTTGCTGGGCAGCTGCTGAAGAATGCTTTTGGTTGACTGAAATGTTATTAAGAAGTTCTCAACTGGTCACAGGGCATAGCCCTCACTTACCTACGAAATTGCAGCCATGATTTTGAAATGGCAAACTGTCCATTTCTTTGCTTCACACAGGTCAAAAACAACCACTGGCAGGTTTCAGGCTTTGTAAATCGGAAGATGGAAATGGCAAACCCAATAATAACATCTATTGTGTATGGTATGTAAAATCACAAAAGTCACACTTCATACCTGAAATTTGTAATTTTATTTGTAACTTCAAACTGCAGTAGCTAAATTTGTCTTTTTAGTTTGTATAGTGCATGCAGTACTAACTGTTCTAGCTGCTCCCATTTGTGTATATGTGAGTGAGCACTGTGGAAAATAAAAGATCTGTGGCCTGTTTGCTGTGTCCCTTAGCTGTGTCCATTGGCGATGGCCAAACTCCAGCTTATCTCAACTCAGATAAATATGTTGATGGCATTGCTAAATCTAATTAACATGGCTGATCTCCGACAAAACAAGCTTAACATATCTTGCTTATGAGAAGACATTGTGTGTGTGAGGGAGAGAGAAACACATCCAAAGTTTGGATTATGTGCAACAGTGGGAAGAGCAATACCTTGCTCTTTGTCCATCGTTTCAGGATGTTAATGTCTTCCCAAGTGGTACAGTCTCAATCATCCTGTGACACCACTGGGGAAATAAAGAGAGAATGAAGGTCATTTATTCTGTGTCCTGTAGGAAATACACAGTAAAACTAGAATTAAAACCTTCCCCTTGCTGAGTCCTGCTCCTTTGTCCTGATCAAAAGCTTGCTCTATCTCTCCACAGGTGTCCAATGCATGTTTCAGCCAACCTTCCCTTTTGTGTGACAGCCTTTGTTTCTGATCTAAATTTAACTCTATTTCACATATATCTTGGCTTTTCTTGCTGCTGTTATTATAAACTACAAATCCCCGAGACTGATTCACCCAGTGGTAAAAACTGTTACTGTTACAGCTTGGGAACATGATTCTGTTTCAGAAACTGTGACTTGGTTTGTTTTACTTCTGGAGAGCCTTAAACATTTTCCTCTGCGATAAATCCCAGCAGCTCTTGACCTGAATGGTTTTGTGTATCTGGATGAGTAACTACTACTAAACTGGCTTGCTGCCTAGAAGTTATGGATTTGGGGTCATTTTAAATGTTATATGCGGATGGATCTCAAGATTTTGTCTCATTAGCATGAAAATATACATATGTACATAATGAACATATAATGTGTATATGTATTTATATCTATGAATATATCTGTATGTATATATATTCATTTCAGGGGCAAGAAAGTAGATTATTTAGGGACAAGAGCAGAAACCCACACCCAACAGTCTAGATGGGGTTTGATGCTGGCCTAGATGCAAACTGAACAAGCAGACAATAGAACTTGTTTTCTGCTAGCCAGCAAGAGAGACTTGGCATCCTCCAAAGTGTTTGTGCGTGCATAGCACTACTGGACATCCACAGAAATAGCTTTGTCAGAAGAGGGAGAAACCATCCTTGGAATGGATTTTCAGAAGCAGAGCTCCTATTTGTAACACCCGCTGCAGTTCACAATCAGCAAGTGGCTCCAGGGGCCATGTGGCAGCTCTCAGTCCTGATTCAGTCCCTGATTCCCTTCAGCATGCAAGCTGCACTTAGTTCCAAAATGTGATTGGCTTAAGGGTTGCCATTTACCTGTTGGCCATCAAATCTCAGCTGTAGGAGCTGTTTTTCACTCAAAGGGAGCAAATAACATCAGATCTGCTGTTTGTCCTTTTTTCCATCATGAGGAATCTGTAGCCTTTGGAAGAGAGTCCTCCAGGACTCCACAGGAGGATTTATAGTGCAACCCCTGGAATGGACTCCTACAGTGTTTCTCTTGTTGTGGATGTTCTGGGGAGGAATAAATAGAGGAAATTTTTTCCTTGTCATGTGGGCTTGCTGATGTCTTTCCGCTAGAAGAATGTTGATGCTGCCTGGTAGATCTCCTTGAAAATGTTGGACTGAACACCCGTAGCACCTGGGCCAATTTCAGGATGCAGACCAGACTTCTGTGATGTTCCATCAAGGTGTTTGGTAAGTCTAGAATTTAATCTCTGTTTCCTACTTGGTGTTGATTTCTTTATTTGATCTTGCTTTGTGATATTTCATCGCAGGAAAAAAAACTATTCACGTGACTGAAATAGTATTGTCTCTAAAAGATGCCTATTTTTATTGCTATGTGCAGACATTCCAGGCACAGGTATCATCCCTAATTTAGAATGCTAGCAGAAAACTTCAAATAGTCCAGTGTTTGGATTGGTAAGAAATGGAGGGGGTTATTTTGTGACTTGATGTAAAACAAAGCATCATTGGAAAGTTAACAGAAAGGATTGTGCTGGAGACTGATATCTTGCCCTCTCAGCCTCTTGGCTGATGACTATATGTCCCCAGTTTAGAGGTCTATTCTCTAGATATCTTCCATCTTCTCATGCTAGTAGCAATACACGTAAATTTAACTTAATCCTTTCCAGAAAACCGTGAAAAGCCCGTTCACCTCTAGAAAGGGAATCAGCTAGAGACATCTTTGAAATTAAGCATTTGATCTGAACTCCACCTAATGGAAAGGTCAGACGCACACTGTATCTGGCTGCTGTCTTTTGAATCCTACTCAAAATCTCCTATTGTAACCCTGATCTGTCCTCATGTACTCTTGCAGGAGAAATACCAAGTTAGGTTCAGGTATGAAATTGTCATCCAAACCTTTTAACACTGAGAAAGTTTGAATCCCATTTTATTGTTTCACTTAATTTCTGAAATCTTATTAGTTGCTCTGAGGCTGACAGCAGTGAAGAGTGGCATTTCCAGGGACAGCCCTTGTAGCACAAGAGAACATTTTCACATTTCTCCAACGTTCATCTTCAAAAGGACATCAAGGTCTTTTCCCAGCATCTTAATTGGTGCCCACAAGTTTGGGATAGCTTGCTGTGTGACTTAAAAATCCAAAATCTGATGAAGCAGTCAGTGTGACTTATCAGGAAGCACACTCTTCTAACTGCACCTCATTTGCGTCAACAATGGTAGAAAATGGAAGGAAGTGAAAGAAAGGTTCATTCCAGCTTGTCCAGCTGTTGTATCAGAAATCAGTTTCAATTAAATTTAATCATTGGTGGATGGACACATTGCCCTGTGAATTCAAAGTTTATTAGCAGTGGGGAAGCTGACTGCTTCCCATGCAGTGATGGTTCAGGTAGTGAGTGGTGTGACAAGGAGCAGGAAAAACAAAAAGGATGAATCTGTGTGAGGGGAATCTGTGCACCTTCTATTAAGGAGAATGTGAAGCATGTAGCTGATACTGATGCCAATTGAGCTCAGAGCTTCAAAATACCTACAGTGCAGTAAGCCAAAAATGAGTGCATGAAAAAGCAATGGAAGCATGGACAGGATGGTAGTATCTGAAGCTCATTGGAGAAGATTAAATTAAATAACAAAGAATTGCAGTAAGTGGTTTCAGTGACAAAAAATTCAGATTCTCAAAAAAAAAAAAAAAAAACAAACAAAATTTGTCTGCATTCCAGCCTTGACAACACATACAATTTATTTATATTAATGTTTTCAAAACTGAAAGTACCAAAAGTGCTGCTTGGGACTTAAATTATCGACCAGTTCTAGGCTTGCTTGTATCTAAACTCACCCAGACTCGCAGGTTACGTGTTCATGTACCTATTCACTGTATTAACACTAATAGGCGTTCTCAGAACACAGATTCAAGATGGGACCTAAAACCTAGACTGTTGGGTTAGGAGGGAAAAGAATATGTAGTTTTTCTAGAATGCATTGGAAAAATTTGCAGCTCTTCTTTGTTTCTGAAAATGGGATTCTAAGTCCAATTTTCATGTTCAAGGCTGTGAGATTCAAACAGAAACTAATGAACCCAAGGTCTGGGAAGATAGCTTTTCTAAATTGTAGAGAAGAGTTGGAAGGCAGAAGACAGTCTTCTCTTCAGGGTGCTGATTGTAAGCACCTATTTTTTTTTTGCCTGGGTTTCTACCATCAGATGAATACAGAGATAAACATGTAGTTACTGTTTTAATTATTCACATTCTGGGAGCTTTGCCTATTGTGTTCCCAAGATGAGAAGTGCACAAGATGCAGCGCTCTAAAGAAATTCCATCAAGTAAACTCTTACCAAAAGCATGGTTGAGGGAAAATTGTAATTTTCTTACTCGAATCACATGTCAGGACTTTGCCAGTTACATTCCTGAATGCTCTTCAGGTCTTTTTTGCCTACCTAACCCTATGCATAAACCCACCTACGGGGTGGCTCACAGCATTAGTCCGTGTCAAACCTTTTTCTGAAAAGGCTGTGCTGGAGTCATTTGATGATGTTTGCTAGTGCTCTGAAAGCCTGCAGGCAATCCTCAAGTCAGCTGGGTTTGTGCTGCCAAGGATAAGTGAGCTGGCACTTGAGCTACATGCCAGTAAAATTGTGACTTCAGTCATAAAGTCATATCCCAGTTTCTAAGGAAATTATACTTTGCTCACCAAATTTACAAAGCAGATCATATTGTGTCAGAATATTGCAGGTATCCCATGGCCAAATTTTGTTGTGCCTAGTTCAGAACTTCCCTTTCACTTTGGTTCATCCTTGTTGGGATATTTACAAAAAGTAGTAAGTAGTAGTTTGTATTCATTTGGCAGTTAGCTTTGTTACAAATAGGCATAAATACTAATTATTTCCGGGACAAGTCATCACTTAAGGGAAGAACGCTCATCTGTTTTCCTTTTTTTTCCTCCTTATCCTCTGTAGCCTCAACCTCTGGATTTCTACCTTGCGCAGGAAAGTTCCTCAAAGAGATAAGGAAGTAGAAAAAACTAAGAGGTTCAGGGAAGAAGCAGTTTCTGGACAGTGCATCCAGAGATGTTGGTTCTCAAAACATTCATGTTTGCGCTAAAGCCGGAACTTTGCAGACTGAGATTTTTTCCTTATTCACCTAGCTTATACAGCTCCCATTCTGCTGTTGTGGATCATTGCTTCAAAGAAGCTCTTAAGACCAGAATCCAACTTTGAAGATAAGAGTTGATTCCCGATGAGAATGTTAAAAGAAGTACAGAGAGATCTGAACAAGTTTATTTGTGTAGGTTCTTTTAATCTCAGCTAGCTCTGAAGGGATTAGTATGGCTTCTGTTTTCTGAGAAAGCTGTAGTTGGCCATCCACACTCCAAAGGACTGTAGGATAGGTCTCAACAGTAGGAAACAGAATAAAATATTCCCGGGGAGCATGCTTGGCCATTCTCGCTGTGATGGACAGTGAAATTATTACTATCTAGATTAATTCTGTCCTACTTATGGATGCTAAGCATTCTCTGATAATTTTATGAAACTGAAGGTTTAAAAAATTAATACTTACATGGATTCTGGCTAAAGGACATATGTAAACTATGATTCATCATCTCTCTTTTTGTTTTAACCATAAAAACCTTGATATTCACTTTTTTTTTTTTCCAGTGTTGGAAGTTTTATTAGAGAATTAGGACAGACGCTTTCAGAGATGCTATTTAGGAGTGCATTTGAAGGGAGATGAGACTTCTAGAACCCATAAATTTGAGCTCTGCAAGTGGCTTTTACTTAAGAAAGATTAAAATCTTCTCTGTGAAGGAGAAAAAGGAAAATATTTAACCTTTTTTTTTTCTTTTTTTTTTTTTTCTCCCAGTTCCTGTTTACAATTGAGGGAGAGTAAAGACTGATCTCTAGAATATATTCATATATATTCAGAACTGGAAACAATTTAATAACTGGTCTCTATTGCCTGGTGGTCACACCTACACCCATAGAGGCCTTTGGCATTTATATTTTAGTGCCATTTAATTTGTGCAAACCAGTCATCTTATATGGATATTAGGCTTCAATGTCTGCTCTTTATGCTTTTCAGAAGAAAAGAAAAATATTGTAGGAATGGAAGAGGAGCTGACAGCAAGAGCTCACCTTCCAGTCAGGAATCTACTCAGAATTGGAGTGAAATGGAACTGGGGGACATGGGAGGACACTGAAGGACATAGGAATACTAGGAAGAAGGTAAAATTCCAACTGACATTGCTCAGCTGGAATAGCTACCACCTGCTTGAAAGCCTGGTCATTATTCTGAAGCCATGTTAGGTCACTGCATGTAATGTCAGTACGGGCAGTACAATCGAGTCAGTTAAATCTTCCATCAGATTAGGTTTCTATACATTTTCCTTGGTGCCAATGAAAGAATCCAAAGAGAAAGCTGACAGACCTATTACTGTACTGGCACAAGATATGGCTATAATCTTTCAGTGCTTCCAAAGTAAGCCTCATCTCTGAAAATGAGTTGCTGCATATATTCATGACAAAAGGGCACATCTGTGAGCACCCAAAGTCCTGTACAAGATGTATAGAATAAAAAAGCCATCAGAAGTCTCCCTTTTTCAGCTAGGGAGACTTAGTTCCTTTGGGAACCAGAACCCTATAACCCGTATAGGAAGAGAAGTCCCAGTTACTGAAGTTATTTTGAAAATGGTACAGTTACTAAGGCAGGCTTTGAGAGTGCCTGTGTCAAGTACATAAGGTCCTTGGGGTACATTTGGATCTCATATATTATGAGACATTTTGCTTTTTGACTGTTTTTCTTATGCTCTTTAAAATGAGGCTGTTTCTGAAGTCATCAAAATTGGAAATCAGGATTTCCCAATAAAATATCTGTTTTATAAGCACAGACACAATTCATATGTGTCAGTGTCCTTGTGTCCGTTCACAGACGCATTTTGCACCTTGTATTTTCCTGTTTAAAAATATGTAAGTGCAAGCCATCAATGGTGCACAAGGAAGCTCTGCTATGCAGCTAACCAGCTAGCTTGATGCAGCATTAAGGTGCAGGAAAGAAGCGAATGTGGCTCGTAGCGACTGATTGAAAGGGGCAAGGAAGGAGCATGGGGAACAATGAGTGCATGTTGTGTGCAATGTGCTTACTCCTGAGAAGTAAGAGAGTGAAATGCTGCTGAAATATTGATAGGGAGGATAGGCTCTGGAATGATTGATGACATGTGTGTGTGTCTTGGCAAGTTTAATTGGATTTATTGGGGTAGAGGGTGGAAGAATGTGGTGCATTTCCTTTTATGGGTTTCTTTCTTTCAGACTTTTCTTTCCTGCAGAATTGTCATTTGATGCGTATCCTTTTCACTGTCTAAAGAGAAAACCTGGTGTCTGTTCCTCTCAATTTTAAGGTTAAGGAAGCTGTATAAAGAATGAAAAGAGATGTAAAACGAGTTTCATTACATTTTATTTACTACTTGTCTTCACTTTCACTAGGTGTAAATACTCACTGAAGAGTGGTAAACTGAAGAGTGGAGGGGAAAAAGAATATGTAATTGAATAGTGGCTAAGTGAATCTCAGTGTTATGATGCCAATCATAGCGGGAAATCCGCCTTGAAAACTTATTGTCTGTATGCTCTTCTCTAGCATTGATATGCTTCTCTTTTTGACTTATCCTTAGTAACCAGATTCCTTTCATAAAACTGTTACAGTTTGCCAAAGTGGTGAAGTTCAGATCCTCCAAAACGCCAACAAACTCAACACCTGTTAAGTTTCCTAACATTGAAAGAAATGGATTTCTATGTGGAACTTTCTCAGTGCCTGCACCTGAATTCCTAGCCATGGTGTGCATGTGCTGTTTTTCAGTGACAGTATTTTAGTCTTCCCCTTTCCCTTCTGCCTGTCGCTAGTGTGAGCACCCTGTGTTTTTAAGCAGAAGCATTGACTTCTCTATTCTGACCCCAGTACTGGTTTCTGCTCATTCTGGTATAAATTAGGAGTACCCTTATATCAGGGCCAGTAAGCAACTTTTTGTTTTTATTTGTTTTTGATAAAGCAAACTAGTTTCATCAGCTGTTTGTTTGATGCTTGCATTGAATTTGCTGTTAATGAAAAGTCCAGTTTAGAGACTACATGGACAGCATCTGTAAAGGCTTTACTTGCTCTGCTGAAGCTAAGTGGTGGACCTTTTTTTGGTTTCTGTTCAGGTTTCATCATCCAAGAGCTGACTGTGAGGATGACAGCTTCCAAGATGTCTCAAAAAGAGAACACCAAACTCTGTTCTTGGGCCTATTGGGAGAGAATTCTGACCTCTGCAGAGGTGAGTAAAGAAACAGAGAATTGGGGAGAACTTTCTGTGGAGAAGATTGTGAACTGCTGATACAGGACACTGTGCTTCATCTAGTGTAAAAATTTTCATTTTTTCCTGCTCTGAGTTCAGCAGGAATCACTAGCCAAAGACCTGGTAATCCTTCTCAAACATGCAAGCTTTCCAGGCCCTCAGACACATAAATTAGAGCTGTCGGTGTTTCATCTCTTGCCTCTTCCCTTCTTTTCATTGCCCTACAATCAAACTTAAGTCGGTGAAAACCAATGGGAAGGTAGGTATAGAGACAGAGAGCTTTAATTAGATGTTCAGTCATCTCCACAGACATGAAGCCAAACATGTCTCTGGTAGCAGAATATTTCTGAAACAGTTTGTTTTCAAATAACAAGCTTAATGTAATAATGTTTTTATGCAACACTAAACTTAAGGATGTGTTTTCACTGAAACACAATGGAATCTAAGCTAGCAGTAAGATACTTCAATTTCATTTAAGTAACAGCCAGTTTCATTGGCAGAAGTATTTCTGAATTTGCTGCTCTTTCTTAATTTAGGTTGGTTTTGGCATGAGACAAATGTATCTTCTCAAGACTGATTAAAAGAATTCTGGGGTTAAAAAAAAGACAGTGTAGGAGAGCATTAGTTGTTGTCTTATTTGTTTGATATAGTTTGTTTTTAGAAGTATCTGTGCTCAATCTAATTTTTGAGAAAATGTTATTGATGCAAGAAACCAAGGGTCATTTTTTCTGCTGTGGTGTTGTGCCTCCTTTCTTATGAAAAGCCTGAATTGAAGAAAAAAAGCAACATACGCAGCATTAAGGAAGAATCAAATGATGCACTTACAGTGCGACTAATGAACCAACTTCCATTTACTACTTGCTGTGAATCTGCTCCCTTTGCCCCAGATCTTAACTCTATGGTCAGTTCTCTTTAATCTTAGCACCCTCTGCTGTGGACATCTATAATAACATCTTATTTAATTAATCTCTATTTACAAGTTGTGTATCCCTATTCGTACTAAAGGATCTACAAATGTAACACAGCTTGTGCCAATGGAGCTGCATCTTGTCTGAAAAATGTGTTATATTCCCTTTCTCATTCCTGAAGATAGACTTTTCCAAGTGCTTACTAAAGAAAAAATGTGCAGAATACGGATAAAGATGTTTTAAAATATGCTGTGTAAGAAAGAGGCCTAAATCAAAATCTAGTCTTTGCAGAAGAGGACTGTAAGTATGCAAATGTGCTTGAGTCCAGGGATAATTTTGAGTTTTGCACCAGGTAATAAATTTATTTTTTTTTAAAGTTTTTATTTGCCATGTTTAATTCCTCTGGAACATGTACTGATCAAACTACTGCTATCTCTGGTGTCAGATTTTCAATGTGAATAGCAATATGTGTCTTAAAGTCAATTTTGTTAGCTCACCTTTATCCTGAGTGTTTTTCTTGCAAGCACAGTCCATAGCTAGTTTTTCAGGTCAAGTCCTCATTTGTGCCGGTAGGTCAGGGCCAGCACATCTCAGTACTTGAATAAAAACATATATGTTAAAAGCATACCACTTTGAAAATGTCTGTGAACACATCTGTCAATAAAGAATATTCTGCAGAAATTGTTCTTTAAAGTCAAACTTTATCACATCTTTCCAGTAGCCAGTTCCATTATTTAGTCCCTCAGAGACAGGAGAGAATTTGCATTTCATTAGAGATACAGCCTATAAAACAAAAGAAGAAACCATTCTCACTTGGTGAGCTATGGTCAATTCCTCCACGCTTGCTTACTAACAGAAATATCTCCTTTCTCTTCTTAGTGAAGGTACTGAGGTTCTTACCAGTGGTCCAGATGGGAACTCCATTTCCAATGATCCTTTCTTTTCTAACAAATTTTCATCTCACATTTGGACTCTTTCCCCAATGCCTGTCAGACTTGAAGTCTAATACAAGTGGCTGCACTTCCACAGAAAGTTCAGAGACAACATGTTCACTGTGCTTTCAGTATTTTCCTTTAAATGCTTAAGTAATTGTTATTAACCTTCTCTTCATGTTTTTTGTTTTGTCTTTGAGGCAGCAGAATGTGTAATAGCAATAACCATATGAATCAGTCATTTTTCTTTTCACTCCTCCAACTCCATCTGCTGATCGCTCATATGAGAGCTCTAACAGCAAAGCTGCTTCTGAGGATCACTGAAGATGTGGAACAGTGAGCCGCCTTGTCAAGCATCCAAGAGCAAATAGCAGCAGCGATGAGATTTTGAATACATTAGTAATAAGACTGTATTGATCTCAAAACACTTTACAAACATTAACTAATTAAGCTTCAAAACAGTGAAGTAAGTTTGCGATGATACAGCTGATTTAGCAGATGAAGAAGTGGAGGTAAATGAAGGGCAAGCAAAGTGATCAGAGTGAAGTGGTAAGCGAAGATCAGAGGAAGATGTTCTGATTTCTAATTGTTCTGATGTTCATGTGATCTCACTGAGGAAATTTTTGCAGGGAAACTTGCAGCCATTTCAAATTAATTATGCTGGAGCATTTTCTAACTAATCTGAGCACTTCTTACAAGAAACAAGATTGTACAGAATCTCACAAAACTTACAAATTCTTTTAGCCTTTCAGATCCAGCTTTGATTGACAGGCACTATTTTGGAAAGCAGAGGAGACAGCTATTGCCATGTTCTGAGTCTTTGTGTTCCCACTGTGCTTCTCTGATGGTACTACTTGATTAGAAAATTGCCTTGACCTGCAAAATGAGAATTCACGTGGCCTTGACACTGATGTCATGCATCTATCCCACCCTTCCAATGGAAAAATAAAGCCTTCTCAAGGGATTGGTCTGGTCCAGCAGTCCTAGCCAGTCTGTGGAGTCTGAGAGGCTGCTATAGAGTGGAATGGTTTTAAGTCAGTAGAACAGCCCTGGCTTAAAACCAGCATAACAAGGTGGAGCATCAGGCACACAGTAAGTGAATCATGCAGAGCAGTGTTGACCCAAACAGAGGATGACAGCTTAGAACAGGTTCCTCAGAGACATTAAGTTATCCTTGGAAAGACAGGTCTCAAAGCCAAGGTTTATACTTTCTTAATGGGTTTCATTAGGAAGAAAGGAAAGGAACTGGAAAAAAACGTGTAGCTTAAAAGGGAACGACTTCACTGCAGTCAAAAATTTGTTCCATTTTTCATTAGAAGAAGCCAATCCTGCCTTGAAATTCATGTCCCTTCAAAGTTCAAGGAGGCCTATATTGTTGGCCTGCTCAGTCAGAACGCTCCAGCCACTTATTGTATGTGGATTGCACTCCAGGGACTGCCTGAAAAAATATGATTTAGTGAAAGCTTGTACCCAAAACACATCATTGGCCTCTGATCTCTGAACATTTAAATATTTCAAGCTTACAAGCGGACGCTGTCACGAGGACAGACCCTGATCCCTAGCTGATTCTAGAACATCTGTTGAGGCATTTACCATGTTAATAGATTAGCTATGAGAATCAGGCAGGTGTTTTTCACCAAAGCCAGAAAACATCAAAATCAGATTGCCCTCCAAGTCTTTCAGCACAGGCAATCGAGTTAGAATGACTCATAGAGTCTAACAGATAATAAAACACACATAACATTTGCTTTAAGGTACAGGTGGGGATATTTTGTACTGTGCTTAGGAGAAAGAAAAACTAACTCTATTTGGGAATAGAGTAATTGAATACAGATGGGAGGAGGCAAATGAAAGAATTTAGCAAATATCTCAGTGGAATAGCTAATGGGAACGAGACAGAATAGGAAATTAAAAATTATTCGAAGCAGATGGACCATTCTTTGAGTTTTTTAAAATTTATTAGGGCTGCGAAAAAAATGTGTCTGTTTATTTTCCACGGCCATGAAATTAATGACTTGGTGAGTTGTGCTTGTGCAATTTTATGACTGCCATGTCATTTGTCATAATTTGGGTGCTGTTTGATATGGATTTATGAATATTTCCTCCCCCCAACATGATTTATGGGTGTTGGTCATACGTGAATTAGACTGTCACCTTTAGTATGAAAAAGTACAAATGACAGATTATATATGTGTGTGTGTGTGTGTGTGTGTGTATATATAAAGCAACAACAGTGCTCAAGTCTGTAGTGTAGGAAAGCAGAGTTCACAATCCTCTCCTCTGTTTCTTCATTGGAAGCCTTTGTTTAGAGTTGACAATTAAATGTTTGAACTTGAGTCAAGCATATGGGAATACTGAGAGGGCTTGAATGTATCTGAATTCATCTGAATTTCACCTGTGAAACTCAGTTTGAGTCATCCTTTCCTTGTGCTGTGCATTGAAAAATCAGTATATGCACTATTTGCCAAAGGACCGACTGATTTACTGTATAGGAGCAAACTGGCCTAGCAGATTTGCTATCTTGCTTCCAGTAGTGGCTAACTCTGAGAGAAGCTTCCATGGAAAGTGAAAATAATTTCACATGACCTGTTCTGTTGTGTAGCATTGTATAGCTATAGGAGTGAAGTTGAAAGACTCAGCAAACCATCTAGATTTCTGCAACAATAATAGTATCCCAGCTTTAGATCCAACATACTAACTTTTATACTGTTATCACTTTCACCAAAACATAAGTATATGCCATTTGTTTTATAAGATGCAGCTATGGGATGAAACAGTTTAGGTTCACAACAGTTGCTCCTGGATTCCAGCAATCTGACTGTAAGCACATTACTGAGGCACCTGATACCCAATTGCCCAAGGCTCTGCTGCTGATGCTGGAAAGTGATACGCACCTCCAACATGCAGGTCAGCTTGTGTGTCCCTGTCTGTTGGCTGATTGCCCTTCCTCAGCTCCCCACCTTGCATGGCACCAAAGCATTGCTGGTCATCTTTCATGCTTGCTAGCAAATGTTTCCTTTACAGGGGATATGATTAGCTCAATCTACAGTTTGTAGGCAACCATGTATGGTAGCTCAATTGCTGGGGTCCAGACAACAGTAGTGGGAGGCTGATAGTTCTTAGCAAATATCTCTGCACTTGTGAGGAAAGGATGGATTGCTTTCAATCACAGTGAACTGTCAGTGCAGTCTTTGCTGTTCTGGGTAGCACCTATTACTGCCAAGGATAATCGATCTCTTCTCATCTATAGGTGGTCAAGCCAGAACCTGAGTTAGCAAACGAGAGCCAAATCTGCTTTGTGATGGCAGCTAATTCTTTGTGGTGGTGATTTGTGGCTTCACAGAACTGAAATTTCTCGCAAAAATAAGCCAGGATGGCCTATACTTAATTCAGGAGTGAGGGCCAGTGATCTCAGCTGAATCATCAAGAAACTTT